AATAACTGATGAATATCTTTATGTTCGTATTTGGATGAATCTTATCGATTGAATTTCAAAGTTATTTATTATACGGTACAAGCTACAGTATACTACGATTCGTCATTTAATAATTTTATGTTCTGCAACAGTCTATTTTTTTAATACATTTTTTAAAATACTTTTCATAACATTTACATAAATATATTATTTTTTTTTACCTTACAATTGTGACATCTATACATGATTAATACCGAGTGGAGTTTCCACTTGCAGAAAGTAGATATGTAGGTACCGTGACGGTCTGATTTATTGTACCTACTTCGTATACGGTACCTTGATGATTTCTCCAATCTTTTCATGGCTCATGCCATTAACACTGCTCTTACGTAAGCCGTCTGCTACATTTTCCTCTTTTACGCGTTGATGCGCATTTACACTCGGTAGGAACTGAAAAAGAAAAGTAACATCTTCCTGGCTGAGAATATTTGGGCGAGCATTCATTCGTAACCAATCTAAAATACGTGGCGTTTCCTGGCTCGAATGGAAAACAGATTGTCATTTCCTGTTGCAGAAATTCATTACACGAGAACCTGTAGCCAACCCGTATGAATTTTGATTTACGTCAAATATACATATAGATATATTACACGGGCGTATTTCGAGAAAAAAAGGAAATTAAAAATTCGTTTACTCGAATAACCTATAAAGACCTTACTGAGCATCAAAGTTTTACACGTGCATAAAATTTTTAATTTTAAAAATCCTTAGATTGGTGAAGTATATATATGTATACATATAGATATACGGTTGACCACGAACACAACACCCGAAAATGGTTCCGCCATAGAGATCAAAATCAAAACTTTTAGATCAAACTAATTAGATTTTGGCATTTCGATACATGATTCCAGTTCACCCAACTCAGTGCTAACTGCTACTGTGCACTAATTTGCATTGCATCTTCGATGAAAAGTCCGTCATCTGTTTCAAGTTGAATTTAATCTTTTTTTAACAATTTTTAACAAATACTCCATACGTAGAACATGCTCCCCCAGTTTAGTACTAAAACCCTCAAACACCCTGTATACATAAAACCTAAGCTAACCTCCATTCAATACTCAGTACGTACCACGTTAATTCGAAATGGCGAGATCCTGAAAATATATAAAAAGCGCAAGTCTACGCGTGTGGAATTTATAAATCAGAAAGAGTGCAGCCTCGCGGTCGGCTGGTCTGGGCTTTATAGCGTTAGTTGAGAAAATGCCGTCTCGTTTAAATGGCAAGGCTTTATCTTCGGTCCGCGCGGACGTGTCCTTCCCAAGGACAATGAGTCGTCGAGTGGAGAGACGGATGCTCCAAAGTAAAACCATAGAACGTAGCCAAGAGGGAAGATGCATTAGTGGATTCAAAGAGTCTCCTCGAGCCGTCATTTTCCAGCCGACCGTCACCCCTTACAGTTGCACGTACTGACACCCACATATAGCTACGTCACATTATTTTCTCGTCTCGCGTACCTACGTCGCGCCTGTTGACAGATCGCTTATGGCATCGTTATACCTCCGCAGAAAACTTATGTCGAAGGTGTCGTCACGATGCCCCATTGCTTACGTCATTGGATGCACCGTAGAACCACTCTATTGTAAATTGCTCGGGTACCTAGAACGGTGAAAGCCTTTTATTGAATACGTGGTTCACATCTCAATATTTATTCGCACTCTACTGCAGGGAATACCCATGTGCATATGTAGAAATATATATATATATATATACTATAATTGAGTAAGAGAATAAATATTTTCTACTTATAAATGCACAAGCCATGTGCACTCTAGAAAAATTATTTCTACAGCGAATAATTAAATGCGAAGAATCAAGTTGAGTTGAAGAATCGCTAAAAAGTCTATAGTCTCTATGTAGGGGACTGCTTAGCAGGAGGTACAATATGTATACTTATACGTAACTGGTATACAGGTACAGGACAGACGCTACGTAGCTTCCGGTAAGGAAACGTATCTCTCGTGCAAAGGATGCTGAAACCCTCGTAAATAATTCGAAATCAAGGAGGTGCTCGTCCACGTTCCGATTATCCGATCTTCTCTGCTTCTCTTGGTACTTACTTTTACTGCTATAGTTTTTCCTTCCTTATTCTATCTTTTCGCTTCTGTTCTGCTCTCTCTCTTTCTCTCTCTCGTTGTTCCCGTCTTGGCCGGCACGTCGGCGGGGCGGGGAACGAAGCCGAATTAATTGCACGGAGTCACGGCATGTCTACATTACTCAAGGGTTCGTTCTGATACGGGATGAGACGAAAGAGTTCGCGGTGAGTGAGCGGCGGTGGGGG